CCAGACTTGTGGAGGTCTACAATTTTTTTTCTGAGGTCTTGGCTGATTTCTTTTGATTTTCCCATGATGTCAAGGAAAGAGGCACTGAGTTTGAAGGTAGGCCTTGAAATACATCTACATGTACACCTCCAATTGACTCAAATGACGTCAATTAGCCTATCAGAAGCTTCTAAAGCCATGACATCATTTTCTGGAATTTTCCAAGCTGTTTAAAGGCACAGTCAACTTAGTGTATGTAAACTTCTGACCTACTGGAATTGTGATACAGTGAATTATAAGTGAAATTATCTGTCTGTAAACAATTCTTGGAAAAATTACTTGTGTCATGCACAAAGTAGATGTCCTAACCGACTTGCCAAAACTATAGTTTGTTAACAAGAAATTTGTGGAGTGGTTGAAAAACAAGTTTTAATGACTCCAACATAAGTGTATGTAAACTTCCGACTTCAACTGTATTTTTCTTAAAACTGCATTGTTGGTTAAGGGCTTGTAAGTAAGCATTTCACTGTAAGTTCTACACCTGTTGTATTCGGCGCATGTGACAAATTAAAATGTATTTGATTTGATTTGACAGTATAGGCAAACACTGGTCTATCTCCTCGAGAGTCAGAGAACGTGTAACTGCAACTGGGAATGCCTGCAGTGCTTCAACAACTCAGTCCATCTGAAAGAGTTACAGTTGGGCCTGTAGGATGCAGATGACCTGGGACTAGTGTTTGGAACTTTGAATGGATCCATTATGTCAACTATGTTCGTATGTCAATTATAAACAAGCCCTAAATTGTGATTTGGTGTGATTGCTTAGTATGGTTTGACCAAATGGTGACTGACTGGTTGCATCTTCCGAGTGGTGTCAAATATTTTGTAATAATCTGTTCTCATTTCAGAGTATTTTTTTGAGAAGAAAATAAACATGAATGGCTCGTTTACCATTTGAACGTAACAGAGGAATGTTTGACAGTGTGAGATATGACAAAGACACAGATTGTGTCTATAATGTCAACCGTAAATGTTAACAGGCTATCAACATTACCTAGCAAGGAACCTGAAAGACAACATTCTATTTTTTGGCCAAACCTGTTGAATGACACTGATTGTACTGTAGCATCGCTGTGTACACCTGTTTACACGATTGTTAAGAAAGAAGAACAATAATACATCTTATGCAAAGCATCGCACACATTTTTGTATTTCTAATAAGCGAAACAGGAAAGGTGTGATGCTTGAAGAGGTATTTATATAGTCATACAATTATAAGCACACAGATCCATGCATTGTAAATCCTAACATAAGGATTAAATCCTTAAGTAAGGATTTCCAGTGAAACGTCACTGGTCCCTATGGAGGAGATCAAGAAAGATCCACAACTCTAAAGAAAGTACAAACCCCTTACTTAAACATTATTTACCCATACAATAGAAAGGATGTTTGAAAGAAACTGTTGGAAAGAGTCAGGTTTTCTTTAAATACCGGCAGTAGGCTACTGTGAAATGTTTTGATTATAAATCTGCACTAATTTGGCTGTCCAAACTGTTATTACAACTGAGATGATGAGGCATCTAATTGTCATGTAGCCTACATTTATTGTGCATTGACTCAGCTGTAATAGGGTTGTTACCTAAGACTCTAAACTATTGGGTGGTATAATTTCACAAGTATTAATAAAAATACTACTGTCTTTTTTGTCAGACTGTTTGACTGTGGAGTACTGTCTTGAAGCAACACGTAACATACTAGAATCCTTCTCATCAAAGTCAGAAAGGGATACACACAAATGAATAATACATCATTCATTATGGCACATCTAAATACAAATTAATACAAAATAAAAAATAAAAACAGACAATTAATGTGTTTTGAACAAAAATAGGAAATACTTTCCACGTGTCCTAAGTCAATCTGAAAGTTTGGTAGACAACAAACAGTGCATTTAAACGGTGCTCTGGTGTGTGTACTAACGTTATGATAAGTTATGACTAAGTTATGACTAAGTTATGGTAAGTTATGATAAGTTATGACTAAGTTATGGTATGATTGATATATTTTGTCTCTGTTGTATATTTACATATATTATTAATATGCATAAATAACCATGTCAAAATGTAGCAAGATCAGCAGTGTATATGTTTCGCGTGAAACTGAGATTTGTTTTGTCAGTGTTGCCATTTTCTATTAATGTTTTATGTAAACCTGTATTGAACACATAACAGAATAGATTACCGTAATAAGATGAAGAATACGATGAAATAAATGTGTATTCTTGACCTAGGCCTAGTAGTGCGTATTTGTTTTTGGTTACTTGACACAATATGTTTTTGGTTACTGAAACGTCAGCTTCTAAAGATGCAACGGTAGCTAGCAATATGAATTGGTTGGGGGGCTCGTATATGGCCTCTTCTCTTCGACACAATGTTACCAAATTGGGTGACTCACTTACCTATGGGGCGCAGTAAAACAGCGCGTAAAATATCGACTTATATATTCCTCCAATTTGCCTTTTTCTGTCTGTCAATCCTCGGGTATGTAAAGACTTGATTCTTCTGGAGAACAAGTTAGGAGGAAAGTGATCCAGATCCAAGAAGCTGTACGAAAAAGAAAGGAAACATGCTTGTTGTCCCATAGTAATGACAAAGAAAGCAATAGCCTCCTAACGTCTTATGGTTGTCAATGAGTAGAGTCAATATAGTTAAAGCTTAGCAAAGATGTCCTGCACACAGAAAAAGTCACAAACAATATATATATATAGCCGATCAATCCGTAATTTTCTTCCCTCCCAAAGGCAGGGAGTTCCACGGAAAAATGCAAAAAATTACAATGATCTGAAAACTTCACCATGAGAGCATGAAAACTTCACCGAAAGCTCTTAAACAAAGGGAACAAATTCATGCTTACTCACCTGTTTTTGGAAGTCACCCCTCCTGAAAAAAGCGAAGATAGCTTACTTATTTTTATACTAGATTTTTTTTGGCGCCTTATAGTTTTCAGTAATATTTCTCCTGGTTTGACAGTGTAAGTGGAATGTTAAGTATGACTTTGGTATGAAATCAATGAACGCACTACACTGGAAAACGAAGAAAAAAACTTTCAAGGAGGAGCCATTGGGTACCGTCAATCAAAATACTTAGGGGCAGTGCCTGCACTCAAATCTCCACCCCCAGGACTTTTACAGGAGGATATTCCAGAGAGGTCTTTATCAATATATAATTATTCTTTGAAGTTGCCTTTTGTTCTCTGGCCCTGCCACATAAAATGACAACATCAGCTATGCAGTAAAATGTTTATAGTATCAGCAAATATCACATGGTTTGTTTGGCTCAGTGTGAAACGTTCTATTGCTATTATTAGCCTACTTTGTTGTAAAGCCAGTGGAATAGATAATTCATGCAAAATTAAGTGTGTTATATTGTGACCTGTAGACTACAATTAATAAAGTTATAATAATTACAACAAAAATAGTAATAATATCACAACAACAACAATAATATCATTGTTAACATTTAGTCTACACAAACATTAAACAGTGTCATTATTATTATTATTATTATTATTATTATTATTATTATTATTATTATTATTATTATTATTATTACATTACTGTATGTTTCCTGCCGAGGAAATTACACATTCCACTGAAGTAAGGTCGAATATAGGTCGAAAATGTCATTATGCATGTCAAGTGTCACACTCCATGATGTAACCCTTTCAGGTTCGAATTCATTAAATGTTTTAGAAGCTTTAATTTGAACATGTAGGCCTATTCACATCCGACAATAGAATAGCTCCCTCTGTTGGTCAAAATAATGATTGCGATTGTTGGCATTGGAAGTAGGCCTACAGGCCTAATGGGGTTGGTTGCTGCTGAAAATATGTTTTTTTTTTAACAAAAAAACAAAACAAAAACTATCGTCGGCCTAGTGAAATGTAGGCGACAATGAAAACGTGTGGGTAAAATAACAGGGTCATAGTCATAACTCGCTCTGTTAACTAAACAGGACACTTCAAGAAGACAACTTTCTGTGAAGTCAACTCTGAGGAAGTGTGCACATCATTGCACTGCATTTGTCCAAAAACCTTGTCTGTGATCAGCTTCATTGCCTCTGCGAGTTTGGACAACTGCCGGAGCAGGTTCGGGCAGAGAGCACACCTTCCCCTGGCTCTCAGGATCCTCAGCTGTCAGCCCAAACAGGTTTTACATCCTAAATTCAAGTTTCTTCTCTCACCTCACATTTTGTAAGGTAACAACATCTGCAGAACAGTATGAGTGTCTCTACAACTAGAAAACTAACAATTTATTAATTTGAAACCAATTTTCTCATCATAACTGCTGACATTATCCTAAAAATCATTAGTAACAAATATTGTCATTCAAAAGCAAGAGGTTGAATCAATGCAGGTTCCCAGTGAGAATTGAGTTGCCAATTAGCAATAAAGTTAAGACTACTATAGTACTGTGTCAAATGCACAGTAAACTATACAGCATGATATTTGGGGTTTTACTGTATACAACAATACACTTCTCCTGTAAGAATTCGTTTGAAACATGTAATACTTTATTTGCAGATTAATTAATTCATTATTATTTGAGCATGTTATCTTCAAGCCGGCACTTTGACTTTCATTCAAGAGAAGTTGACAAGAGACTGAAATGCATTGTTTACCTTTGGAACATACATTAACTATCCTTATCAAAACAACAATGGTCCACATCAGTGCCATATATTTGTCAATATCTGTCAATATAAGGCTCTTGTCCACATGATTCATACAAAGACAGAATCTAGCCTAAGAGAGAACATAGAACTTAAAAAAGCAGGTATCAGAACAACAACAACATTGTGGCTTGAGTGGAATGAGAACAGCAAATAAGATGATTAGAGAAACACATGTGACTGTCCACAGTCACATGATAAAAGCATATTGCCTCATACCTCTGCCTTTTAACTGTTCACAATGAAACCTCTAATTTGTAAAATGAAGTCAATTTCATAATCTGGAAATAATGCATGGAAACAAACATAACCCTAAAAATAATAATAACAAGTAGTACTAAATAAATATACTTTGACATGTTTTGAAATGAATTAGACACACGTAGACACAGTTTATTTTTAACCAATAGATTACACATTACTGGATTTGCATTCCAAATTAAAAGCAACAGAATGAATGAAAATTGGACATGTACTATGCTATAAAATCATTGATGTAGGTGGAAGATAGGCTCTCACTCTTCAGATGTCACTTTCATCCCCCAACACTGAAATGGTGTAATGCCAAAGCACACCAAAGCTCCGCTGCTCAGACTTGCATGAAGCATCAGCATCCACTCACATCCGTCAGCTCATGACTATCATTGCAATGAGACACAAACAAACAAAACAATCCCTGAGGCAGTCCATGTGTTATGAAATGCTTCTATGTACCTTGCACTGATGTTGAGGAATGGTGAAGGATATTCTTCTTTCTGGTAGTGGGCATCTGTAGTATGCCAATAAGGAGTTGCAGCAGCTTGAGGAAGCACCAGAGCCTATATGGTTTCCTCTTATTCACAGGTTATTTTGCCATCGAAGCTTGATAGAGCGATGGCAAAGGCCTGCACTGCACACATGGGGTAGCTATAGTCCAGAGTGAAGGCATCGTCTGCTACTCGTCCAAACTGCATCACAATATAGTCCACTAGAACAGAATAAATAGAATATTTTAAACACACACAAACAAAAAACAGTTAACATTTACATTTTTGACAGGAAAATGGCAAATTACACTTTAGCTAAAAACTCCCAGAAAGTATACTGTATTTGGGAGTTTTGTGACTTTATTCAACCTTATTCAACTTGTTTTATTCTTAGACTTTTGTCCACCTGTATTGTTTATGATATGTACTAGAAATTAACAATATGTAAGTAATGTAATGATTGCGAATGAGAATTTTTGGTTTGAATCTCTTCTCACAATCCTTGCTGTGGACGATCTGAAAGTTCTTGATGGAGGCCTGTGTGACCCTGCCGTTGAAGTTCAGCACATGGGACGCCGTCTCCTCATTCCACGTGGGGGTCTTGTTGTGGAGTTCGATCAGATTGTCCAACTTTCTATTCTGGAACTTCATCAGTAAACCATCGTTGTCCTGAAGAAATGGGGGTTGAAGAAATGCAGCAACATTAGCTGGGTCATTCCACAAAATAAGTGCCTTTGCCTCCCATTAATATTTTAAGTAGAAATTTGGCACAAATATAGAAATTTAAAAGCCTGTTATATTCAATGAAGTGTCCTTTAATATAGACTACAAAATTCGGATTTTTTTTGTTGCTTTGACAAAGTCATTTCTGAAGATTATTTATTTCATGTGATTAGTGATATATTTACGCCTGTCCCTCATTTTAAGGTCAACCCTGTTATGTGAACTGAGCTCTCGTTTTAATAAGGTCAAACTTCCTTTTGAAATATATTTTAAAAAAAGAAACATTTAACATTTAATAGTCAAATCATAGAGTAAAAGCAGGTGAGCTGGTTGTACTCTTTTTGGCCATTTTCTGGTGTTTAGTGGTGGAAAACTGAGCGGGTCGAGCATAACACGTCAACCCTGTTACCCATAGATAGACAGGCTAGAATGTAAAAAAATAAATCATTGTGAAGCTTGCAATTGCCACTCCCTTTTGCACACAACAAGCTTCCATTCTCCATGTCACAAGGGGATTTATGGCTGATTTAAGATGATATAATTAGGTAGCGGCAGGTAGCTTAGTGGTTAAGAGCGTGTGCCAGTAAACGAAAGGTCACTGGTTCTAATCCCCGAGCCGACTAGGTGAAAAATCTGTCGATGTGCCCTTGAGCAAGTCACTTAACCCTAATTGCTCTGGATAAGAGTATCTGCTAAATGTAAATATTCAACTCTGTACGGTCAACCCTTTGACTTTATTTAACACATACTATAGTCACATTTGTATTTAAAATCTTGAGATGGGAAAATTAGTTTTTTTATGAAGTTGAACATGTGCTCTTTATGACAGAATGTTACAATTAGGTGAAATCAAATAATTGTTTTACCAAGTTACACATCTCAAAAGGCACCGAATTGGTGGGACGACCCAGCTGGTCACAATAACAATATGGACAATGAGGAATATTGTGGTAAAAGCAAATCATCAGATACACTGTACTATACTGTATGTAGCCTACACAGCATGTAACCTCCTACATTTACATTTACATTTATATCATTTAGCAGACGCTCTTATCCAGAGCGACTTATCCTACAAAGATGAAATCATGACAAAGGTCTTTAATGAAGAGGGGTGTTGTTCGGTCCTAATCAATAACTCAGACAGAATGACATCTGTATAACAACGGATTTCTTACACTGCGAGGTCGGAGGGGTACTCGTTCACTGTCCTTGCCCATCCCTGGGATGATAACGGTCAACCTTCTGGGACCCTTCATTCCCAAGACATTCGTTTCCTATACCCAAAGGTCAGAGAGATAAGAAGCGGAATTAGGAATTACATTTTTAGGGAAGTTGGGTTCCATCATAGATCAATTTAAAATAACATTTTGTAATAACAATCTAATAATGAACAGTCTATGAACTACAGTGGCTAGCGAAAGTATTCACCCCCCTTGGTATTTTTCCTATTTTGTTGCCTTACAACCTGGAATTAAAATGGATTTTTTGGGGGGTTGTATCATTTGATTTAAATAACATGCCTACCACTTTGAAGATGCAACATATTTTCTATTGTGAAACAAACAAGAAATAAGATTTTTTTTTAAACAGAAAACATTAGTGTGAATAACTATTCACCCCCCCCCCCCCACCCCCAAGTCAATACTTTGTAGAGCCACCTTTTGCAGCAATTACAGCTGCAAGTCTCTTGGGGTATTTCTATTTAAGCTTGGCACATCTAGCCACTGGGATTTTTGCCCATTCTTCAAGGCAAAACTGTTCCAGCTCCTTCAAGTTGGATGGGTTCCGCTGGTGTACAGCAATCTTTAAGTCATACCACAGATTCTCAATTGGATTGAGGTCTGGGCTTTGACTAGGCCATTCCAATACATTTAAATGTTTTCAATTAAACCACTCGAGTGTTGCTTTAGCAGTATGCTTAGGGTCATTGTCCTGCTGGAAGGTGAACTGCCTTCCCAGTCTCAAATCTCTGGAAGACTGAAACAGGTTTCCCTCAAGAATGCCCCAGTATTTAGCGCCATCATTCCTTCAATTCTGACCAGTTTCCCAGTCCCTGCCGATGAAAAACATGGTGTTCTCGGGGTGACGAGAGGTGTTGGGTTTGCGCCAGACATAGCGTTTTCCTTGATGGCCAAAAAGCTCAATTTTAGTATCATCTGACCAGAGTACCTTCTTCCATATGTTTGGGGAGTCTCCCACATGCCTTTTGGCAAACACCAAACGTGTTTGCTTATTTTTTTCTTTCTTTCTCTGATTAATGTCCTCCTTGCCTGGTCCGTGATTTTTGGTGGGCGGCCCTCTCTTGGCAGGTTTGTTGTGGTGCCATATTCTTTCAATTTTTTAATAATGGATTTAATGCTGCTCCGTGGGATGTTCAAAGTTTCAGATATTTTTGGATAACCCAACCCTAATCGGTACCTCTCCACAACTTTGTCCCTGACCTGTTTGGAGAGCTCCTTGGTCTTCATGGTGCCGCTTGCTTTGTGGTTTCCCTTGCTTAGTGGTGTTGCAGACTCTGGGGCCTTTAAGAACAGGTGTATATATACTGAGATCATGTGACACTTAGATTGCACACAGGTGGACTTTATTTAACTAATTATGTGACTTCTGAAGGTACTTGGTTGCACCAGATCTTATTTAGGGGCTTCATAGCAAAGGGGGTGAATACATATGCACGCACCACTTTTCCGTAATTTATTTCTTAGAATTTTTTGAAACAAGTTATTTTTTTCATTTCACCAATTTGGACTATTTTGTGTATGTCCATTACATGAAATCCAAACAAAAATCCATTTAAATTGCAGGTTGTAATGCAACAAAATAGGAAAAAACGCCAAGGGGGATGGATACTTTTGCAAAGCAATGTAAATTGAGCAAAAATATAAATGCAACGTGTAAAGTGTTGGTCCCATGTTTCATGAGCTGAAATAAAAGATCCCCGAAATTTTCCATATGCACAAAAAGCTTATTTCTCTCTAATTTTGTGAACACATTTGTTTACCTCCATATTAGTGAGTATTTCTCATTTACCAAGATAATCCATCCACCTGACAGGTGTGGCATTCCAAGAAGCTGATTAAACAGCATGAATATTACACAGGTGCACCTTGTGCTGGGGACAATAAAAGGCCAGTTTTGCCACACAACACAATGCCACAGATGTCTCAAGTTTTGAAGGAGCATGCAATTGGCATGCTGGCTCATGGAATGTTCACCAGAGCTGTTGCCAGAGAATGTAATGTTTATTTCTCTACCATAAGCCGCCTCCAACATCATTTTAGAGAATTTGGCAGTATGTCCAACCGGCCTCACAACTGCAGACCACATGTATGGCGTTGTGTGGGCGAGCAGTTTGCTGACGTCAACATTGTGAACAGAGTGCCCCATGGTGGCGGTGGGGTTATGGTATAGGCAGGCATAAGCTACGGACAACGAACACAATTGTATTTTATCGATGGCAATTTGAGTGCACAGAGATACCGTGACGGAATCCTGAGGCCCATTGTTGTGCCATTTATCTGCCGCCATCAGCTCCTGTTTCAGCATGATAATGCATGGCCCCATGTTGCAAGGATCTGTACCCAATTCCTGGAAGCTGAAAATGTCCCATTTCTTCCATGGCCTGCATACTCACCAGACATATCACCAATTGAGCATGTTTGGGATGCTCTGGATCGATGTGTACTACAGCGTGTTCCAATTCACTGCAGGGGGCAAATGGTGGTCACGCCAGATACTGACTGGTTTTCTGATCCATGCCCCTATCTTTCTTTAAAGGTATCTGTGACCAACAGATGCATATCTGTATTCCCAGTCATGTTAAATCCATAGATTAGGGCCTAATGAATTTATTTCAATTTACTGATTACCTAATATGAACTGTAACTCAGTAAAATCTTTGAAATGGTTGCATGTTGCGTTTATATTTTTGTTCAGTATACTTATAGCCCCTTTACAAACCATTTATAACCCATTTAAAAAATGTATTTAATGGCTTAACTATACCAAAATAATCAGCAGTTTATAAAATACTTATGAACCCTTTGGGAAAACCTTTATAAATGGTTCTTCAATGTACATTTCAAAAGCCTTACGTAAATAATGGCTGCTAATTCTTGGCGAGCGTTGGACATGTCTGGTAGAGCTCTGTCTGGGTGCAGTGCATTATCAAACACTGTGAACTTAGTGCCCAAGTAGTTGGACCTATGGAGTGTAAAGAATCACTCCATTAATTAAATGAGCTTATGAAATGCATGATTACAGTTGCAATAAAACATGTTTTATGGAATTGTTACAGTTTGATCTATGAATGTACACTACTGTTCAAAAGTTTGGGGTCACTTAGAAATGTCCTTGTTTTTGAAAGAAAAGCAATTTTTTGTCCATTAAAATAACATCAAATTAATCAGAAATACAGTGTAGACATTGTTAATGTTGTAAATGGCTATTGTAGCTGGAAACGGCTGATTTTTAATGGAATATCTACATAGGCGTACAGAGGCCCATTATCAGCAACCATCAGTCCTGTGTCCCAATGGCACGTTGTGTTTGCTAATCCAAGTTTATCATTTTAAAAGGCTAATTGATCATTAGAAAAGCCTTTTGCAATTATGTTAGCACAGCTGAAAACTGTTGTGCTGATTAAAGAAGCAATAAAACTGGCCTTCTTGAGACTAGTTGTGTATCTGGAGCATCAGCAATTGTGGGTTCGATTACAGGCTCAAAATGGCCAGAAACAAATAACTTTCTTCTGAAACTCGTCAGTCTATTCTTGTTCTGAGAAATGAAGGCTATTCCATGCGAGAAATTGCCAAGAAACTGAAGATCTCGTACAATGCTGTGTACTACTCCCTTCACAGAACAGCGCAAACTGGCTCTAACCAGAATAGAAAGAGGAGTGGGAGGCCCCGGTGCACAACTGAGCAAGAGGACAAATACATTAGAGTGTCTAGTTTGAGAAACAGACGCCTCACAGGTCCTCAACTGGCAGCTTCATTAAATAGTACCCGCAAAACACCAGTCTCAACGTCAACAGTGAAGAGGTGACTCCGGGATGCTGACCTTCAGAGTTGCAAAGAAAAAGCCATATCTCAGACTGGCCAATATAAATCAAAGATTAAGATGGGCAAAAGAACACAGACACTGGACTTTTTCTTTGCAACTCTGCCTAGAAGGTCAGCACATCAGTTTTCAGCTGTGCTAACATAATTGCAAAATGGTTTTCTAATGATCAATTAGCCTTTTAAAATGATAAACTTGGATTAGCAAACACAACGTGCCATTGGAACACAGGACTGATGGTTGCTGATAATGGGCCTCTGTACGCCTATGTAGATATTCCATAAAAAATCTGCCGTTTCCATCTACAATAGGCATTAACATTAACAATGTCTACAATGTATTTCTGATCAATTTGATGTTATTTGAATGGACAAAAAAAAGGCTTTTCTTTCGAAAACAAGGACATTTCTAAGTGACCCCAAACTTTTGAACGGTAGTGTATATTACAGCATACCTCAACTTTCCAATGAAATTTTCTCCACCCCTTGACAAGTCTGTGGGGTCTATGGAGATCAGGTAATTGGAGGTTGTGCTTTTCTTTCGTTTTCTCCCAGCCAGTAGAAAGACCTGTAAAAACACATAATTAATCCCCTGGACAATGATTCCTGAAATGCATATCATACATTTACATTTACATTTTAGTCACCACTGCATCACAAGTCTGTTATCTAGCCTTAATAATAATGGCGCCGGAGAAGAAGGCTGCCGTTTTACAGCCCTCTAACCAATTGTACTATTATGTGTGTTTTCCGCGTTATTTGTAATTTATTTTGTACATAATGTTTCTGCCATCGTCTCTTATAACCAAAAAGAGCTTCTGGCTATCAGGACAGCGATTACTCACCTCGTGTTGGACTAATATTTTTTCTTCAACGAGGCAGCCAACGAAGGATATCCTACAGACACCCGACAAAGCCCAAATCCCCGTCATTCGCATGAGGAAGAGACGGAGATATCGTGGACGTAGGTCGGGGTGCCTTGTAAGGATCCGACGGCGAGCGAGTAAACTGCCGCTCCCATCAATCCTATTAGCCAATCTTCAATCATTTGAGAATAAATTGGATGATTTAAGATTACGGTTATCCTACCAACGGGACATTAAAAACTGTAATATCTTATGTTTCACCGAGTCGTGGCTGAACGACGACATGGACAACATACAACTAGCGGGCTATACGCTACATCGGCAGGATAGAACGGCTGACTCCGGTAAGACAAGGGGTGGCGGTCTGTGTATATTTGTAAACAACAGCTGGTGCACAAAATCAAATACTAAGGAAGTCTCGAGGTTTTGCTCGCCTGAGGTAGAGTATCTTATGATAAGCTGTAGACCACACTATTTACCAAGAGAGTTTTCATCTATATTTTTCATAGCTGTCTATTTACCACCACAAACCAATGCTGGCATTAAGATTGAACTGAATGAGCTGTATAAGGCCATAAGTCAACAGGAAAACGCTCATCCAGAGGCAGCGCTCCTAGTGGCCGGGGACTTTAATGCAGGGAAACTTAAATCAGTTCTACCAGCATGTGAAATGTGCAACCAGAGGAAAAAAAACTCTAGACCACCTTTACTCCACACACAGAGACGCATACAAAGCTCTCCCTCGCCCTCCATTTGGCAAATCTGACCATAACTCTATCCTCCTGATTCCTGCGTATAAGCAAAAACTAAAGCAGGAAGCACCAGTGACTTGGTTAATAAAAAAGTGGTCAGATGATGCAGATGCTAAACTACAGGACTGTTTTGCTAGCACAGACTGGAACATGTTCCGGGATTCTTCAGATAGCATTGAGGAGTACACCACATCAATCACTGGCTTCATCAATAAGTGCATCGATGATGTCATCCCCACAGTGACCGTACGTACATACCCCAACCAGAAGCCATGGATTACAGGCAACATCCCCACTGAGCTAAAGGGTAGAGCTGCCGCTTTCAAGGAGCGGGACTCTAACCCGGACGCTTATAAGAAATCCCACTATGCCCTCCGACGAACCATCAAACAGGCAAAGAGTCAATACAGGACTAAGATTGAATCGTACTACACCGTCTCTGACGCTCGTCGGATGTGGCAGGGCTTGAAAACTATTACAGACTACAAAGGGAAGCACAGCCGCGAGCTGCCCAGTGACACAAGACTTCCAGACGAGCTAAACCACTTCTATGCTTGCTTCGAGGCAAGCAACACTGAAGCATGCATGAGAGCACCAGCTGTTCCGGATGACTATGTGATCACGCTCTCCGTAGCCGATGTGAGTAAGACTTTTAAGCAGGTCAACATTCACAAGGCCACAGGGCCAGACGGATTACCAGGACGTGTACTCCGAGCATGTGCTGACCAACTGGCAAGTGTCTTCACTGACATTTTCAACATGTCCCTGACTGAGTCTGTAATACCAACATGTTTCAAACAGACCACTATAGTCCCCGTGCCCAAGGACTCTAAGATAACCTGCCTAAATGACTACCGACCAGTAGCACTGACGTCTGTAGCCATGAAGTGCTTTGAAAGGCTGGTCATGGCTCACATCAACACCATTATCCCAGAAACCCTAGACCCACTCCAATTTGCATACCGCCCCAACAGATCCACAGATGATGCAATCTCTATTGCACTCCACACTGCCCTTTCCCACCTGGACAAGAGGAACACCTACGTGAGAATGCTATTCATTGACTACAGCTCAGCATTCAACACCATAGTGCCCTCAAAGCTCATCACTAAGCTAAGGATCCTGGGACTAAACACCTCCCTCTGCAACTGGATCCTGGACTTCCTGACAGGCCACCCCCAGGTGGTAAGGGTAGGTAACAACACATCTGCCACACTGATCCTCAACACAGGGGCCCCTCAGGGGTGCGTGCTCAGTCCCCTCCTGTACTCCCTGTTCACCCATGACTGCATGGCCAGGCACGACTCCAACACCATCATTAAGTTTGCAGACGACACAACAGTGGTAGGCCTGATCACCGACAACGATGAGACAGCCTATAGGGAGGAGGTCAGAGACCTGGCCATGTGGTGCCAGGATATCAACCTCTCCCTCAACGTGACCAAGACAAAGGAGACCATCTCCCGAGTGGCGCAGTGGTCTAAGGCACTGCATCGCAGTGCTAGCTGTGTCACTAGAGATCCTGGTTCAAATCCAGGCTCTGTCGTAGCCGGCCTTGACCGGGAGACCCATGGGGCGGCGCACAATTGGCCCAGCGTCGTCCAGGGTAGGGGAGGGAATGGCCAGCAGGGATGTAGCTCAGTTGGTAGAGCATGGCATTTGTAACGCCAGGGTTGTGGGTTCAATTCCCATGGGGGGCCAGTATGAAAAATGTATGCACTCACTAACTGTAAGTCGCTCTGGATAAGAGCGTCTGCTAAATGACAAAAATGTAAAAATGTAAATGTAATGATTGTGGACTACAGGAAAAAAAAGAGGACTGAGCACGCCCCCATTCTCATCGACGGGGCTGTAGCGGAACAGGTTGAGAGCTTCAAATTCCTTGGTGTCCACATCAACAACGAACTATCATGGTCCAAACACACCAACACAGTCGTGAACAGGGCACGACAAAGCCTATTCCCCCTCAGGAGACTGAAAGATTTGGCATGGGTCCTCAGATCCTAAAAAAATTATACAGCTGCACCATCGAGAGCATCCTGACTGGTTGCATCACCGCCTGGTATGGCAACTGCTTGGCCTCCGACCGTAAGGCACTACAGAGGGTAGTGCGTACGGCCCAGTACATCACTGGGGCCAAGCTTCCTGCCATCCAGGACCTCTATACCAGGCGGTGTCAGAGGAAGGCCCTCAAAATTGTCAAAGACTCCAGCCACCCTAGTCATAGACTGTTCTCTCTGCTACCGCACGGCAAGCGGTACCGGAGTGCCAAGTCTAGGTCCAAAAGACTTCTCAACAGCTTCTACCCCCAAGCCATAAGACTCCTAAACAGCTAATCATGGCTACCCCCCCCCCCCCCCCCCCCCCCCCCTCCCCCACCCCATATTTTTACGCTGCTGCTACTCTGTTAATTATTTATGCATAGTCACTTTAACTCTACCCACATGTACATATTACTTCAACTACCTCAACTAGCCGGTGCCCCCGCACATTGACTCTGCACCGGTACCCCCTGTATATATAGCCTCCCTACTGTTATTTTATTTTACTTCTGCTTTTTTTCTCAACACTTTTTTGTTTTATTCTACTGTTTTATTAAAAATAAATGCACTGTTGGTTAAGGGCTGTAAGTAAGCATTTCACTGTAATGTCTGCACCTGTTGTATTCGGCGCATGTGGCCAATAAAATTTAATTTGATTTGAAGTCCACGACTTGGTTTTATGCTCACGTTGGCTCCATCTCGGATTGGTTTCAAAATGACAATAAAACCCCTAAACCTGTCCTCTGGGAGTGCCTCGCCTTCTTTTCATTGTCCAGGTGGAGATAGTATGTGGGGTATAGGCCTTTGTCCAAGCCCCTCTGGTCCCGGGTCACCTTGCATTTGACCGTCACCCCCTGCTGGGCTGGCTGCAGAACAAACTCCTCCAGGCTGTCAAACTCAATGTCCGGGGACGGAGGCCTCTCCTCCTGGATGTGGGACAAGAAAAAATATGGTTATCAGCTTATCAGCATCTCTAACCAATGTTCATTTGGGGACCTTTTAGGTCAGAGGATTGCAGAATTGTATACCCCACCCCGCCATCACTGTGTCAAGACTGTGACCTAGCTAACTAAACAGACTGTGACCTAGCTAACTAAACAGACAGTGACCTAGCTACCTAAACAGACTGTGACCTAGCTAACTAAACAGACTGTGACCTAGCTAACTAAACATACTGTGACCTAGCTAACTAAACAGACTGTGACCTAGCTAACTAAACAGACTGTGACCTAGCTAACTAAACAGACTGTGACCTAGCTAACTAAACAGACTGTGACCTAGCTAACTAAACAGACTGTGACCTAGCTAACTAAACAGACTGTGACCTAGCTAACTAAACAGACACAAACCTTTTTCTTCTTCCCTTTTCCCTTTTTCTTTTTTCCTTTTTCTGCCTCTGGGTCAGAATCATCGCTGTCTGATGCTTTGGCTGATAGGAAATAGAACATTAGGGAAATATCAGACAACTTTCCTTCACTGACCAGCAGGAAGACAGTCAAACAACAGAGCTGTATTTAATTATAACTTAAAACACTTGCCTTTCTTCTTCTTCTTCTTGTCCTTGTCTTTGTCCTTGTCCTTGTCCTTGTCCTTGTCCTTGTCTCCCCCTGCTGAGAACATGGATGCTGGGTTGGCGTTCTCCTTCTTCTTTGATTTTGATTTGCTGGACTTGGTTTCTGGTTCGCTGTCTTCACTATCCGATTTGGCTGCTGGTTTAAGAGAATACACTTCAGGTTATGATCATATTACGGTGTACCTACAGTGTTTTTCCAATGGTACTGTAACACTGCAGTGAGTGCTCTTGCAAAAGGGGTGTGAGACTTCTGATGTTTAGACACAAATCATACATGACGATGGGTTAGAGATTTTCAACCACAAAGTCGATCATTATCCCTAAAATTGCAGCAGTTTAAAATGAATACTTAAAGCTATAGTGTTAACGCTTACTGTACCTTTCTTCTTGCTCTTGGAGTCTGACTTATCCTTATCTCCATTTACAGAGAACAGAGAAGCTGGTTCCTTTTTCTTGGTGTCTTTCTTCGATTTTTTGTCAGACTCTTTGTCATCTGAAAAAAGATGTGTGACGAAAATACTATTTCGTTACCAGTGTTATGTTTCAAAAAATAAATAATGTTTTTTTACTTAAAAAAAACATTTAACCCCTTTTTCTCCCCAATTTCGTGATATACATTTGGTAGTTACAGTCTTGTCCCATCACTGCAACTACCGTACGGACTCGGGAGAGGCGAAGGTCGAGAGCCATACGTCCTCCGAAACACGACACTGCCAAGCCGCACTGCTACTTGACACACTGCTCGCTTAACCAGGAAGCCAGCCGCACCAATGTGTCGGAGGAAACACCATACAACTGGTGACCGTCTTAGCGTGCATGCGCCCGGCCCGCCACAGGAGTCGCTAGAGTGCGATGGGACAAGGACATCCCGGCCGGCCAGCCAAATTATGCGTCGCCTCATGGGTCTCCCGGTCGCGGACGGCTGCGACACAGCCCGGGATCTAACCCGGATCTGCAGTGACGCCTCAAGCACTGCAGTGCCTTAGACCGCTGCGTCACTCGGGAGGCCGTGAAACTTGTTTATATGTTTTTGTATGTTTTGCACACTGTCTTGTTGTCTAATCTGCAACAGCTTGTTAGGTGATGACAGCATAAGGCTGTGGCCTTCCACCTCGTGTGCAGGACTAGTGTTTCCTTTCACTCAACATTACACTTAAATATCCTACCTAATCCTCTTAAAGCAGGTCTTATTCTTGTTGTCTACTAACACCTTTAAGAAAATTGCTTTCCTATACATCTGCCCACCTTTAGCTTTGGATTTCTTCTCCTTGCCATCTTTTTCAGAACCTTCCTTTGTGATCTTTTTCTTTGTCTTCTTCTGTGGATTCTCTTCCTCATCATCATCGTCGTCATCTTCTGTATCTGAACCTTGGGCAGAAAAGAAGAGTACATTTTTATTGGGTTTTACAGACGGTTTGATGCTGTAACATGCAGTTCACCTTGAGCATAATCTCAGTTATGTTTCTGACTGCTTACCTTTCTTTTTCTTTGGCACGCTTTTAGTTTTCTTCTTTGGCTCATCTTTGGCTTTCTCTTTTTCTTTCCCTTTTTCTTTTTCAGTTTTTTCTTCATCTGCTTTCTTTTTCTTTACCTTTTTTCCATCTATTTGACAAAAATAATGAAAATAAACAACATCGTTAAGAAGATTGAGAGAGGGAAGACCTCCGAAGAAATGTATATGTTTTGAGTGATGGATATATTCATTCATTACATTTTGAAGCGGCACACTATCTCAGATAAAAAATGATTCATTTAAGAATCAACATTTTGGCAGCAAGATGACTTCGTCTGGGTTCTCAGACAGTCTGTTTGCTGCCAAAATGTTGGTGAACTTTTACACAATAATTTGCATGTATCTCATTGGACGATATGTCATCTGAACTGCGCAGAACAGTCTGTACTTTGAACGGCAGGACTCTCCTCTCCAGACAGGTCATCACTCTTCTTGCTCTTGCTCTTTTTGGGCTTTGCATCGGCACCGTTGGTGGCTGCGCTCGCTGTCTCTGCCTTCTTCTTCTTTGGCTTCTAGAAAGCATTATCTACAGGAAGAAGAGTCAGAGATGAGACGAGGAGAGGAGAGAGGGTCAGACACCAGAGACAGATGACACAGATATGAAGTAAGGACAAAATCCTAATTTGAGATCTACAGTGCCTTCAGAAAGTATTCATACCTCTTGAGTTATTCCACATTTTGTTGTGTTACAGCCTGAATTCAAAATGGATTGAATATATGTTTTTTTCACACCCACCTACACACAATAGCCCATAATGAAAAAAATGAAAACATGTTTTGAGAAAATTTAGCAAATATATTGAAAATGAAATACAGAAATATCTAATTTACATAAGTATTCACACCCATGAATCAACACTTTGTAGAATAACCTTTGGCAGTGATTACAGCTGTGAGTCTTTCTGGGTAAGTCTCAAAGTGCTTTCTACACCTTGATTGTGTAACATTTGCACATTAGTCTAAAAACAAATCTTCAAGCTCTGTCAAATCGGTTGTTGATCATTGCTAGACAACCAATTTCAGGTCTTGCGATAGATTTTCAAGTTGATTTAAGTTAAAACTGTAACTTGGCCACTCAGGAACATTTCCTGTCTTCTTGGTAAGCAACTCCAGCATGGATTTGGCCTTGTGTTTTCAGTTCTTGTCCTTCTAAAAGGTGAATTCATCTCCAAGTGTCTGGAGGACAGCAGACTAAACCAGGTTCTCCTCTAAGATTTTGCCTGTGCTTAGCTCCATTCCGTTAATTTTTTATCCTGAAAAACTCCCCAGTCCTTAACGATTACAAACATACCCATAACATGATGCAGCCACCACTACGCTTGAAAATTTGGAGAGTGATACTGTAATGTGTTGTATTGGATTTGCCCCAAACCTAACGCTTTGTAATCAGGACAACAAAATTGCTTTGCCAAATTTTGTGCAGTATTACTTTAGTGCCTTGTTGCAAACAGGATGCATGTTTTGGAATATTTTTATTCTATACAGGGTTCCTTCTTTTCACTCTCTCAATTAGGTTAGTATTGTGGAATAACTACAATGTTGTTGATCAATCCTATCACAGCCATTAAACTCTGTAACTGTTTTGAAGTCACCATTGGCCTCATGGTGAAATCTGGGTGATACATTGATACACCATCCAAAGTGTAATTAATAACTTCAGCATGCTCCAAGGGATATTAAATGTAAGCTTTTTTTCCCACAATCTACCAATAGGTGCCCTTCTTTGCGAGGCATTGGACAACCTCCCTGGTCTTTGTGGTTGAATCTGTGTTTGAAATTCAGTGCTCAACTGAGGGACCTTACAGATAATTGTATGTGTGGAGTACAGAGATGAGGTAGTCATTCAAAAATCATGTTAAACACTATTGCACACAGAGTGAGTCCATGCAACTTATTATGCGACTTGTTAAGCACATTTTTACTCCTGAACTTTAGGCTTGCCATAACAAAGGGGTTGAATTCCACTCTGACATTATGGGATATTGTGTGTAGGCCAGTGACAAACATTCTCAATGTAATCAATTTTAAATTCAGGCTGTAACACAACATGATGTGGAAAAGGTCAAGGGGTGTGAATACTTTCTGAAGGCACTGTACATGCATTACTCTGCCTTTTGTATGAACCATGCATTTATGTCAATGGGAACTGTGCAGAGGTGTAAGGTACTTAAGTAGAAATACTTTAACGTACTACTTAAGTAGTTTTTTGGGTTGTCTGTACTTTTACTATTTATATGTTAGACAACTCTTACTTTTACTCCACTACATTCCTAAAGAAAATAATGTACTTTTTACGGCATACATGGTGCCGTCTGGTTTGCTTAATATAAGGCAGTGGCTGCTCGCCCATGAGGGCATTAGGGGTGGTGCCCCACTTGTGATTGGTAAAAAAAAAAAATCTATTTAATTGTACTGTTTTAAATGCTCATAAAAGTATGGTTAATTCGTACAATTTCCTGTTTCAAAAATATATTGTTCAAAACAAGCTGTTCAGTTACTTACTACACTGCCCCCCAGTGACTCCCAGCTCCGTGGGCGCATAGGTCATGCGAACATTGCTTCGACTGTTTTGCCAGCTATTTGCTATGAGGGGAAACTGCCCCAATGAAACCGCAGGATTTGATAGCATAAATTAGAACAGCACAAAGTAAATGGACCATCCTGGGGCGCTCAAATGAGTGTCCGTTCAGTCAGAACTTCTGGATCTGCTCTAGTATCCCTTCCCCAATGAGTCTATCGCAGCCAGACATTTTACTTCCGCATGTGAGACAAGATCTGCTCTATCAGGTACAGATGGCGCTAAATCAAAAAGCTAATTGTAATTAACTTGTAAATAAATAATCATAACAGTCATAGGAGCCTGGGATCTGATAAACCAGACAATTACATCCAACAAGAGTCGAAGGACAGAGGGATACACTAGCTAGAACCTTCTCCTTGCGGATCTGGTAGGACAAAAAGCATGGCCAATGTTATTGTTCCCCCCTGATGTTGTTTATAAGGTTCTGCTGTAGATGACTGGGTGACATGTTGTGCGGATTAAAACAGCATACAACTGGGTGTATCACAAAGCATGATCAAATGAATTAGCCAGCTAGAGTAACTTTGAGAAACATTTAGAAATATAGTGGTTGATTATTTTGTAAAATTAACCCGTTAGCTATCTACCTTTGATAAGCAACTAGCTAGCTATAGCTAGCAGGTGGCTTGCTAGCTAGTTAGCTCCCATGCCAATTTCAATTATTTCTAAAGTAATATCTGACTAACTCAGAAATATGATGTTATTTCAGAATGAAAGTTAACTGGCTAGTGCATCATGATTTGTAACATTATGTTAGCTAGCTATCCCCAGTTAGATAATGTGTTTTCACTTATTGCATGTGCATGCTTGTTGCGTTCTCCCTGGAGCACTCGTTCTTTCGTGAGCTGACTCCTTGTTCTAAATAGTATAATCTAATCTGTTCAAAATAGTGGCAGCCTGTGCAGTCATTCGGTGTGTCATTCATGTGTGTCATTCGTTTTTCTACATGCAAAAGTGAAGGCTGTTGTTCAAATGCACAGATCGCTTTTCTGTATATATCTTCTCAAGGAAACTACCGGTAGTTCAAAAACTATTTCTGTCATGCTGCTTTGTTGACAACTCCAACCACGGGTATTCAGACAATCAGTGGCCACCTCTGATATAAGGAATTTGAAATTATTTTTACTTTTGATACTTAAGTATATTTAAAACCAAATACTTTTAGACTTTTACTCAAGTAGTATTTTACTGTGTGACTTTCACTTTTACTTGAGTCATTTTCTATTAAGGTATTTTTTACTTAAGTATGACAATTGGGTACTTTCTTCCCACCACTGGAAATGTGTGCGTAGGAGCATGAGGATTTTAGTGACTTACCATTCAAAAGACAGTGGAAAGTGCAAGCAGAAAGGTATGGAGACAGAAACAAATCAAACACTGTACATTTCAAATCACATTACTATAAATACAGTACACTTGATTATCCAAAAATGCATATTTTCTTAGTACAGAGTTTCAAGACATTCTCTTAAAACCGATTTTGCTTTCAAAAAGGAAATACTGATAAATGCATTAAGGTTTTCATTTGGAACAGATAGTAATCATTAGAATATTCTAGTTAATCCATTTTATGTAACCTGTTCTAATGACACAGTGACCAAACAAACTGGTCAGGACTGAGAGAATCACAGTCAGCTGCCTCAGTCACGTAAACATGTTCCGTCACATCCAGTGTTACAGAGGCTATGTAGTTGTATACTAGTGGTAGTAATAGTGCTTTAGAGATTTACAGTAATAAACAGTTATATCAACTACAGAAGGCTGCTCGGGAAAACGAGTATTGAGAGGAATGGTTCTGGACCTTTAAATCAATGCAAATGTTATTGAAATTGGGCAGATGTTTTCTTCTCATTGCAGTTGGAAGTGCACTGGACAACCCAACTCTATTCAAACACAAGTACATACAGCTTCTCTCCCAATCAGTCCCATGTTCCACAGTAACCAGACAGTTGTCCCACTATATGAGCCTTGCTCTGGTATTATGTCAACCAACCTCCCAGAAATCCCTTTCAACACACCACAACACACCACAACACAACACACCACAACACAACACACCACAACAACACACCACAACACACCACACCACACCACACCACAAAACAACACACCACAACACACCACAGAATACCACAACACACCACAACACACCACAAAACACCACAACACACTACAGCATCCCAAGACACGAGAATAAGAAGGATGTCAGGTGCTGTGATCCTGCTGGTCATTTGAACACTGACTGACGAAGTGTAGCGATGGATGTCCACAGTAATCCCATTAAGATGTGGCTCTATTTCTGTCCTCACCTCAGACAAGCTGTCACTTGAGTAATGGCAGCCTATAGACAAAGCCGTCATGCAATTTCGAGGGGGGAAAACCGATGACCAAATTCATTGCATCAACTGCATCAATATGTTAAAGAAACAATATATTTCATATTTTCGTATCCTTCAGATGGGTAAATCCTTCCCCCTCATTATTAATGGACATGAGGCCTCTGCCAGTGGGGCAGAGAAGCAAGAGGCAATTGATCCACTCTCATCTTACCACCTGTCGGTTTTTCACCATGACATGATAACCAATGACAACCACAGTCCATTAACAACACTCTTTCTTAAATAAATCTGGGTAGTATGTCCATAAAATAGGAGGAGAGACATGATTGGTTGTTTCATGAATGACAGTCAACATAGAACCCCCTAACCCCCCAAGTCTTTCCCACATTACAGCACATTTATCCCAGAGCCTCCACACAACCCAGTGGCTAATTCTACATAACCAGCGCTACAATGCACGACAGGCCAGGCTGGGGGAAATCAGACACTTTACAACTGTAACAATACCACAGCAGCATTCTGTTGAAATAATCTGATTACTGGTAAACTGGTCTTCTATCCATTGAATTGTCTAACGATCTAGAGGGCAATAACCTTAAGTAGTTCATCTTTATTCATCTAAACACCATGACAGTATATCTGAATCAAAATGCTACATAAAAATTTTTTCTAAGTTCATAAGAACCATCACCATTATTCCTTCTCTCTTGCATCCTTTCAACAACAAAAGCTCTTCAAAACACAGTTTCTATAACGTTACCTTCTCTGCAGACATTGTGTGGCCAGTGACTTCGGCTCTAATAAACCTCAAACTCCTCTTTACCAAAAACGTTCTTAGTAAAAAAGGAAGACAAAAAGAGGCAATTCAATGCAATGGAGGTTAATAAAGAGAGTGAGGAGCCTTTGACTCAATGGTTCACCATCAGCAGAAAGTTGCTAATAGGATTTATGTGTAAAGCCATCTGTTCTTCAGAGACAGAGACATGTCAACAGGACGAACCAACATGGCGTGGGAGGAGGGGTGAGGAGTGTGTTACGAGTACATAGAGGACAAGCACTGGTCCACTATACACGTGTTGACACCCCCCTCCTGATGTAATGGCCGATGTGACTCATAGCCAACCAACTTTGTCTCGGACACAACAATTTATTCTCACAGGACCAAAGAAATGACACAAATAGACATGTATATGGACAACTAGTGTCTTAACAATGGACAAAAAAGGCACGCCCAGCTACCTAGATGTGGTTTTTGTTATGGTGGACTTTTACCTTCTGTGGAGTGGAGTCATCTTGAGACCTGTGGAATACATTTTGAAATAGCATGACACTTTTGAATAATTCCTTTTCTCAGACACTTGTTCTGGCTTGACTGAGATGACATTGTGATGAATAGAGCTGACATTATTTATTATTCTTCATGAAAGAGTGTGATGTCTGTTCTACGTGAATGCATATCTATTGAATTGCACACTCCTGAACACAGCCCAGTTTGTGCCATTATGCTTATTGGTCGGCCCAACGCATCACCGGGGGTACACTGCCCGCCCACCAGGACACCTACAGAACCCGATGTCACAGGAAGGCCCAAAAGATCATCAAGGACATCAACCACCCAAGCCACGGCCTGTTCACCCCGCAATCATCCAGAAGGCGAGGTCAGTACAGGTGCATCAAAGCTGGGACCGAGAGACTGAAAACCAGCTTCTATCTCAAGGCCATCGGACTGTTAAATAGCCATCACTAGCCGCCTTCCACCTGGTTACCCTACCACCTGGTTACCCTACCTCCCGGTTACCCTACCACCCGGTTACTCAACCCTGCCCTATATACATAGACATGTAATCATTGGCCACTTTAATAATGGAACACTAGTCACTTTAATAATGTTTTACTGCTTTACTCATCTCATATGTATATACTGTATTCTATTCTACTGTATTTTAGTCAATGCCACTCCGACATTGCTCGTCCTAATATTTACAGTGCATTCGGAAAGTATTCAGACCTTGACTTTGTCCACATTTTGTTACGTTACAGCCATATTCTAAAATGGATTAAATAAAAAAAATCCATATCAATCTACACACAATACCCAATAATGACAAAGCGAAAACAGTTTTTTTGAATTTTTTGCAAGTGTATTAAAACCAAGAATCAGAAATACCTTATTTACATAAGTATTCAGACCCTTTGTATGAGACTCGAAAACTGAGCTCAGGTGCATCCCTTTTTCATTGATCATCCTTGAGATGTTCCTACAACTTCATTGGATTCCACCTGTGGTAAATTCAATTGATTGGATATGATTTGGAAAGGCACACACCTGTCTATATAAAGGTCCCACAGTTGACAGTGCATGTCAGAGCAAAAACCAAGCCATGAGGTCGAAGGAATTGTCCGTAGAGCTCAGAGACAGGATTGAGTCGTCCCCCAAGAACACAGTGGCCTCCATCATTCTTAAATGGAATACGTTTTGGAACCACCAGGACTATTCCTAGAGCTGGCCGCCCGGCCAAACTGAGCAGTCGGGGGAGAAGGTCCTTGGTCAGAGAGGTGACCAAGAACCCGATGGTCACTCTGACAGAGCTCCAGAGTTGCTCTGTGGAGATGGGAGAACCTTCCAGAAGGACAACCATCTCTGCAGCATTCCACCAATCAGGCCTTTATGGTAGAGTGGGCAGACGGAAGCCACTCCTCAGTAAAAGGCACATGACAGCCCACTTGGAGTTTACCAAAAGGCACCTGAAAATCATGTTTTCGACTGCACTGGGCATTTAAGAAGAAATAGGGAATTATTTAAGAAAAGTGCAAGGGTGCTAATATACTATATAATATAATTAAATATACCTTTAAAGTGGCAATCAGCAGGTGAAACAATAACTAAGCGGCCTCACCGCCCCTGTTTCTGTAAAAATCTGAGGGTTGGGGCTGAAGAAATGTAACTATTTTCAAATTCATAGACAGAACTATGGATGCAGGGACTGATCATCCATGATATCAACACCATGTTTTACAATGTTTTGATGTTATATAGTGTTTGTTTACATTTCCTTTGTTTACAAACATTTAAGTAAAACAAGTTTATATTTTGGGTTCTGATAGGGTACAACAGTTCAACTAAGCTCATGAGGCATTTATAAGTTATATTCTTCAAGAATCAATGGGTACATATAATTAATTTAAAAGTCCAACAATGGATGTAGCAATTGCAGATTTAGATATGCACCAAGATCTTACCTGTCATCTGTCCAGACTGCTCTGAGGATATCCTTCTGGAGAGGCATGAGTGCTCTGAGGAGAGTTGTAGGAATCAGAGGAAATGATAATGGCTGTGTTGTAGGACTGGATGGTTGTATCAGAGGAAATTACAGTGGTTGTATTAGAGGACTGGATTGTTGTTCTGAACATATTTCAAAAGGGAGGGAGGAACCCTTCTAAAGAACAAATTAAGAACAAAATCATGTTTTTGTTGTAGGCATATGATTTAAAAAATATATGTTGACTTCTTCATTAATGTTATACATTGATTTACAGTATGTGTTTTTCAATTGTAATGATTGTGCTTAATCTTTCTCTGTTAATAGATAAAGGCATGTACACACCAATGGAGGCTGGTGTGGGGAGGACCGCTCATAATAATGGCTGGAACGGTGCGAATGGAATGGCATCAAACACATGATTCCGCTCCAGACATTACCACAAGCCCATACTCCCCAATTAAGGTGCCACCAACCTCCTGTGGTACACACATATGCAGACAGACAAATGCAGGCATAAACACAAGCTCAGACTCACACACACACACACACACACACACACACACACATTCACTCACACACACTTACTTGCACACGCACACACACACACACACTTACATATATACAGTGAGGGAAAAAAGTATTTGATCCCCTGCTGATTTTGTACGTTTGCCCACTGACAAAGACATGATCAGTCTATAATTTTAATGGTAGGTTTATTTGAACAGTGAGAGACAGAATAACAACAACCAAAAAATCCAGAAAAACGCATGTCAAAAATGTTATTAATTGATTTGCATTTTAATGAGGGAAATAAGTATTTGACCCCTCTGCAAAACATGACTTAGTACTTGGTGGCAAAACCCTTGTTGGCAATCACAGAGGTCAGATGTTTCTTGTAGTTGGCCACCAGGTTTGCACACATCTCAGGAGGGATTTTGTCCCACTCCTCTTTGCAGATCTTCTTCAAGTCATTAAGGTTTCGAGCCTGACGTTTGGCAACTCGAACCTTCAGCTCCCTCCACAGATTTTCTATGGGATTATGGTCTGGAGACTGGCTAGGCCACTCCAGGACCTTAATGTGCTTCTTTTTCAGCCACTCCTTTGTTGCCTTGGCCGTGTGTTTTGGATCATTGTCATGCTGGAATACCCATCCATGACCCATTTTCAATGCCCTGGCTCAGGGAAGGAGGTTCTCACCTAAGATTTGACGGTACATGGCCCCGTCCATCGTCCCTTTGATGCGGTGAAGTTGTCCTGTCCCCTTAGCAGGCTCCCTGCGGACCTGGCATCTTTTCACTCCCTCCTCTCTACATTTTCTTCATCTGTTTCTGCTGCTAAGGCCACTTTCTACCACTCTAAATTCCAAGCATCTGCCTCTAACCCTAGGAAGCTCTTTGCCACATTCTCCTCCCTGCTCTTTGCCCCCCCCCCCCCCCCCCCCCTCCACCCTCTCTGTGGATGACTTCGTCAACCACTTTGAAAAAAAGGTTGACGACATCCAATCCTCGTTTGTTAAGACTAATGACACTGCTGGTCCTCCTCACACTGCCCTACCCTATGCTTTGACTTCTTTCTCCCCTCTCTCTCCAGATAAAATCTTGCGACTTGTGACTGCAGGCCGCCCAACAACCTGCCCGCTTGACCCTATCCCCTCCTCTCTTCTCCAGACCATCTCCGGTGACCTTCTCCCCTATCTCACCTCGCTGATCAACTCATCCTTGACCGCAGGCTATGTCCCTTCCGTCTTCAAGAGAGCGAGAGTTGCACCCCTTCTCAAAAAACCAACACTCGATCCCTCTGATGTCAACAACTACAGACCAGTATCCCTTCTTTCTTTTCTTTCCAAAACTATTGAGCGTGCCGTCTTTAGCCAACTCTCTTGCTATCTCTCTCAGAATGACCTTCTTGATCCAAACCAGTCAGGTTTCAAGACTGGTCATTCAACTGAGACTGCTCTTCTCTGTGTCACGGAGGCTCTCCGCACTGCTAAAGCTAACTCTCTCTCCTCTGCTCTTGTCCTTCTAGACCTGTCTGCTGCCTTTGATACTGTGAACCATCAGATCCTCCTCTCCACCCTCTCCGAGCTGGGCATCTCCGGCGCGGCTCACTCTTGGATTGTGTCCTACCTGACCGGTCGCTCCTACCAAGTGGCGTGGCGAGAAGCTGTCTCCGCACCACGTGCTCTCACCACTGGTGTCCCCCAGGGCTCAGTTCTAGGCCCTTTCCTATTCTCGCTATACACCAAGTCACTTGGCTCTGTCATATCCTCACATGGCCTCTCCTATCATTGCTACGCTGACGATACACAACTAATCTTCTCCTTTCCCCCTTCTGATAACCAGGTGGCGAATCGCATCTCTGCATGTCTGGCAGACATATCAGTATGGATGACGGATCACCACCTCAAGCTGAACCTTGGCAAGACGGAGCTGCTCTTCCTCCCGGGGAAGGACTGCCCGTTCCATGATCTCGCCATCACGGTTGACAACTCCATTGTGTCCTCCTCCCAGAGTGCGAAGAGCCTTGGCGTGACCCTGGACAACACCCTGTCGTTCTCCGCTAACATCAAGGCGGTGACCCGATCCTGTAGGTTCATGCTCTACAACATTCGGAGAGTACGACCCTGCCTTACACAGGAAGCGGCACAGGTCCTAATCCAGGCACTTGTCATCTCCCGTCTGGATTACTGCAACTCGCTGTTGGCTGGGCTCCCTGCCTGTGCCATTAAACCCCTACAACTCATCCAGA